TGCATCATCATTTCCATAGTAGGACCATGGACGTGGTACATTCCCAGACGTTTCGCCGGCATCGTAGTCGGCATCGTAAGTGAGTTTCGTCATTCGTAGCACTATATTACAATTCGTCAAAGAGACACGTGAATCTCATCCTTCGACCAAACGTGTACTAAACAGTTTTGGTATCTCCCATTCTGCCCTGACCTATTCACATTTCCTATATCCTCCAATCATGCCTTCACTGCCACCATTTTTAGTTGCTTAATTAAATGTGGTACGGTGTGCCCTTTTGAGCGGCTTTCATGAAAACCATCTGCACTCCACTCTGGCCTTCTCACTCCCCCTCATCCTTGTGCTGGGAATGTGCATCAGAGTCTGCCATATTGTTACGCTAGCCTCCTTCCATAGGTCTTACCAAAGTCTCTCTCTTGCCCCGTAAGATCCGTCTGCCCTCTACCTGGTTCACATATTTCACTCGACCCCTGCTACCCCATCTGTGCCACTCGAGGCGTTATTCGCCATCCCATGCGTCTGGGCGACTAATTCGAGGCTCAAGCCTCTCAGTAATTGTCATGGTCACGCCTTTGCTATATGGAACACGTCAATTATAAATACTACTCTCAGCCCACTAGCTCCCGTCGCTGCCGCTTCTATCCTCTTTCTAACTCTGATACCAACTCTATGACTCCCCATGCCTGCCCTGCTTGCTTTGACTAGGTTCAATGTTGAACCACAACGTGTGTGGGTTGAAGCACAAGAGACTAGGACATGGGACGTCATAAAATTGGTATTAGAGATAGAAAGAGGATAGACGCGGCGGAGATGGGAGCTAGTGGGCTCACAGTAGTTTTTATAATTAACGTGTTTCATGTAGCAAAGGCGTGACCATGACAATTACTGAGAGGCTTGAGCCTTGAATTAGTCACCCAGACGCAGGATAGGGCCAATAACGCCTCGAGTGACACAGATGGGGTGGTAGGGGTCGAGTGAAATATGTGAACCAGGGAGACGGCAGACGGATCTTACGGGACAAGAGAGAGACTGTGGTAAGACCTAGGGAAGGAGGCTAGCGTAACAATATGGCGGACTCTGATCCACATTCCCAGCACAAGGATGAAGGGGGGTGAGAAGGCCAGTGTGGAGTGCGGAAAGTTCTCATGAATGTCGCTTAAAAGAGTACACCACACCACATCGAAATAGGCACGGTAAAATTGTAACAGTGAAAGTGTGCTGGGATATAGGAAATGTGAATAGCCCTGGGCAGAAGGAGAGATACCACAATTGTTTATAACACGTTTGGTCAAAGGATCGGCCTTACTTGTCTCTTTTTTGAGCTGTTGTGTGGTGCTAATAATGGCGATACTCACTGACGATGCAGAGTACGATGCAG